ACTCGTGTTTTTGAGTTTGCTGGTCACGATCCATTTGAACCGCTTGTGTACTTAATTCAGCAACAATACGCAATGCATTCTGACCCAGTGTTAGAACACTCATGAAGTGATAGCAAATAACTTACAGACGAGTCCATTTGGGAAGGCGGCTCTGCGCACTCGGACAATGTAAGAGTGGTGATAAAAGAGTTCGAGAGTCTGAATAGTCAAAGATGATATCGGGACCGGCTGCTATATATTTCTCTAGGTCTATGATCCTCAGTATCTTCTATTGAAACTTCGGTGATATCCGCTGAGATGTGATGGTCCTCTCAGCAATTGACCCGTCAATATCTTGCTGGCAGTGAAATCTCCTGGTCTTTACCTACTGCACACCCGTTTGCTTGGACAATCGCGTGGTTCCTTGAAACACGCGCTCTTACATGACCCTCACAAACGACGCTGTGCTCGCCAGGACCTCTACGGTAAATTGACGGGTTGGGAAATCAGTATTGAGATACACCATTTCATGCTGGATATCTATAATTTCACCGGCAACTAAATCATTCACCAAGTTGAGGCTGCATGTTTTTATAATATGCATTGTGTTATGGGTGACTGGTACGTTATAGTATAACTTACACTTACTCAGGCGCAAGGGTTTTGAGATCCATCCGTCATATACCGCCACAAAATTGGCCATCCGGCGTGCATTTCAGTCGAAACAGATAAGACAACCAGCGTAAATTCCAACATCGCCAATCAATTGACCGCCTATGACTTTCCGTGATACCTTGTCTTAGTAGATGGCGGTAAATGTGTCGCTGCGGGCGATTTTTTCTATCATTGGTTGAGGTGTGATTTAAATCGCCCGAACAACGGGTATGGGTTTTGGGCTTTCTCGCTGATTGACTGATACCCGCAGGTCGCAAAATTTGGCAATTCTGCAAGGGATGTATCTCAGAGGTAGATAACATGCCCTGCTCTTGTAAATAGGCATTCTTCATAACCGGGGGGTGATTAACAGAGTATCGGACACTCTAGTTGATTGACCAGTTATGGAGGGTCCGGGACAATTGAGTGTCGTGAATGCCGTCGCTGGGAGCGCAGAAGCATGCAGTTGCGAACCCTTTCGAAAAGTTATAAAATGGGAAAAAAGGGCATAAGATATCCCTAGATGGGTCAAGAAACATCCGAGATTTATAGAAGATATAACCGCACTCTTGACCCTTCGACACCTCCCTCTGTGCATCACAAGCAAAAGATCCATGCACGTTTGAGTTCGTCCTGGTTTAGGACCCTGGCAATAAGCGAAAGAGCCAAGGCCAGCCACGAGCCTGCGACCAACTAGACTTCGTAACTAGCTTTTCCTCTCTACCCGCCTGAACATGCAACTGATTCCCCCAACGTAAAAGTCAAGATTACCGTTATCTTCATTATAGGGACTTGTGGGTCTCGCATTTTACAAGTACATAGCTCTTAGTCTGGCTCGACCTCTTGCATCCATCACATCGGTCCACCTCTCGAGGTTTTAGGTATCTTTAGTTGGTCACATTGCCACTACTTCGAGTTGCGACGTATTGGTAGGGCGCTCTTGAGGTAGCTGGCTATGTCGCCATATTCCTGGAAAGTAACGGCGCTGGTTGTGTCGGTTCGCACAATGTCCGCATTTCACCTATTCGTTGGAGGACCGGGCTAGGTGGCGTATATGACTGTGGTCGGCGTATAAATCCCGAAACAAGACCAGACCAGGGCTCATTAACCAGCTTCACGCATCTTTGACCGGTTTTTTCTTTCCATGGACTGATATTCCCGCTAGATAATTCTCTTCGCAACTGCAGCCAGCGCTAGAGCTGGGGTATCGTGCTGTGTGCTGGATGGTTCCAGGTAAACCACGGAACAGATGGGCGACCAACCGACGGAATCTGGCATTCAGTTCTCAAGTCAACGGCCTAAGTAAACAGTAAACTTAGGAGGTATCGCAGACCGGTCAAAATTACGAGGCTCCACAGAATTTTTGATCGTAATACAAAAGCTTGTGAATGTAGACCGCGGACTCCTAAGCAGTAGCTGCCATTTGATAGAGCTGTGCAGCCCTCTCGCGCTACTTTCAATATGTTGTGTCTATTACCATTTGAGATTATTGATGCCATCGCTGATGTGGTACTGTAGATATACTATCTGGGTTTGGCCAACTGCTAACTGCATGCCAGCTGCCACAACACAGCGTTCGGTCCTTGAGTTTGGTTTCCACCAGATTATATGCCGCCCTGTTCCCGCGGCTTCATCGAACCATCACCTTCCGTGCGAGGAATGAATGGGCTTTGAACATTTTCGATGTCCATCCCTTTTTTCGGGACCACTCCGGCTCCCGCGCCGGCGAAATCCTCCAGCATGCGCGGCAGGTAAGGTTCAGCGCTCCTATTCACATTGCTAGGTTCCACCGTTGTGTATACAACAGTCACTTTTTCCTACCTGCCTCGTCCCACAACCGACCTACACTTGGAAGCCCGCACGAGTCGACAGCCCATCAAGCCTTTCTCAATGATTTGTCTTATCAGGTAGATCAGGTTTTGGCGCGACTGGAGACCGTCTCCATCCGCTCGTTTCAGTATGTATGAAAGGCATGAGCCGCTGGACTCGCAACTGACCTGTCGCATGTGGTGCGTAGGGACCTGCCTTCCGGCCGGAATTCTGGACACCAACGGATATCTGGTCCGCCACCAGCAACGGATCCATTCGCTTTGCTTGATCACAGACGGGACCTGTCCTCATGCCGGCCGTCGTCTAGAGGGCCTGTCGAGTTTGACGGCACTGACTGACCTGGAATGGGAAGGCATCCAGCATCCATTCGAAATGCGCACCTTGTGCGATTGTCTCCGACAAAATCATCGGCGACTGAAGGCGGTATCCATTGGACTTCTGTTGGATCCGAACGTACCCACGTCCCATGAGGATATCCTGAAGGTCTTCTGGCCACCTCGAGCGCAGGACGACTGCACGCCGGGTGAGCGGGAATGGTTCCCATCACTCACATCCTTGACTTTCTCGCGCGTCCCGTTCCCTGACAGTCTGCTGCCGGCCGGCCAACCGTCACCGTTCCGCGCGCTCAAGGCGCTAACGATCCGCGACTGTCCCAATGAGCAGCGCTTCCTGCAGCTGTTGGCGCGAGCCAAATATCCGTTGTCCCTCCAGCATTTCGAGATCTGTAGCGACTACCTGCGCGACTCAGAGGACCGACTGGCGTCCATTGCGACCGTGGAATTTCTACTCTCGTTTCGCGGCTTGCGGCGTCTGTACCTGAAGGTGGTCAACTTTCCTCGGTTCCTGCCCGGTCTTGGCGATGCCATCAAACATCACCGAGCCACGCTCCACGGTCTGATTTTTCACGAGCGTCGGCTGATGCCAATCGACGCTGAAAGGCTCTTTGAAGATCTTCGCGATGTGGATATGGCATCTCCCAATATCCCGCGAATTCTACGGCATAGCTCCCCCGCCGCTCTTGGCCTCTGTCTTCGCCCGGCCAGCGCGGTAAGTGTATCGTTAGCATCCATCCCCTCGGCTACATGAGCTGACCCACCGTAGCGAGGCCTTCTCTTAGGCATCCCGGAACGCTCGTCAATAAAATTACTCCACCTCCGGCTGAGCGGAGAGGAGATGAACCATCGGCATCTCCGCAGAGAGATCGTCTCAGAGCTGCGGAGAAATGCGGAAGGGGGGCTATGGTCCAGGTCGAGACATGGACCAACAGTCGCAGGCTTCCACCTCAAGCCCGCTCGGAAACGGTCGGAAGCCCAAGATTTCCTCCTGCTTGCTCAGTGGGCTTTTGGACCTACGGGACTTCCTGCCTTGCAGATACTCGCCTTCGGTGACTTTTCGCACGATGGCCGCTATAGAGAACAACAGATTTTGATCCGGCGGAGGAGGATCGGTGAGCAGCCTTACCCGAGAGTTTCATCGGACGGGGAATACAGCATAAGCTCATCGTTTTGCTTGGTCGATAGCGACGACCATTCTCTCTGGGACGGCCTGCCATTGGATGGGACTCAGTTTCTGTCTGCATGTCCAGACACGGGGTTGATGGAGTCCCTCTACGACCTTTAGCATGGTATCTTTGGATTTCCTTATATTTGGCGTTTTCAGATTCGCGCGTTGCAAGGGCGGCAATCTGTTGTAGATTGCGCTTCTGATATAATCGCCGCCGAAATATGCCTTTGGCAGTTGTTACTTATTAGTTGTGCGCCGACAGCGCCATTGTGGGAGGCCAGGGGGCGCGATCCTGCTTGCTTTATCTCTCACCGCCTGCTGCCTGGGCTGAGAAGGCTTCCAACAATGCTGATGGTTGGCTATACTGGGATTTTCCTTAACAGTGGGCTCCCCTTTCTAGGGATGCAGACATCCAGGTTTCCCTATGGCTTATGACACGCATAACGAGAGAATCGTCGTACTGCAGCTAGTTATAAGACTCTGTGTTTACTTAGCTTCCCTGTGGTCTGCCCCTTGGCTGTTTGCGTCATGTAAAATATATCCCGTATCATAGCACCGTAGCACGTTGGACTTTGAGGACTGTTTGGTCTTCTGTCTACAAGAAGATGCCGATCAATTTTCAAGGACAGTGTAACGTTGTGTATCTATCTATATGACATAGCACAGCTGGAATACCCCAAGGCCAAAAAGAAAGGAGACGGAAGAGGCTGGCTCCACCAAGGATGCGCAGCATATTAGCTAGAATATGTGCAGTGCCGACCTAGGTACTTAACTGCTGGAGAGACCCGCATGCACTGCGGTTTCCCGCAACTACGTATCTGGCCATCTCGGAGACAGGTTCAGTCAGATTGTAAGGCCCAATCGTCATATACCCGATTCTCTGACACTGCGTATTGTCCATGAGCCTGAACTATAGATCGTCGTACAAGGCGGTTGCGATGGCCACCAGCACACTATCTCGGGTCACTGTTGCCTCCAGCCATGTCAATCGTCCCCGCACTACCGTTCGAGAAACAGCAGTCAAGGTGTCCCCAGGGCCGAAGTCTCCATAGTAGTATATACCGAAAGTTCGAATGGCTGCCTGGTTTCGGAAGGCGTTGAAAGCTCGGTGGCAAAGCAAGCTGATTAACGACCGGTCCCCTGTGGCCTGCCAGTCTTGGGGTACGATTGCTACCGCTTCAGCCGTGGATTCGGCCCCTGGCTGGATCCTCAGTGTGTTCAGGAACTGGTCTTCAAGCGTGGTGGACATATTGAGTTCCCGGTCTGGAATGGTCTCGGCAAGCGTGGCTTGGTCTGGAATATCGGGCGAGGCGCAACATGGGCACTGTATCACAGAGGCTGAGGAGTTCGATGTGGAATCGGCGTCGTCTGACAGGAGACTGGGAGTGAGTTCCGGCAGCGGAGTGGGCTGCAGAATAGGCGCTGGGGAACGATGCGCGATCGGGGGAGACATGATCTTCTTCCCCACAACAGAGTGAGAGCCGGTACATATAGTAGAGGAGATAAATTGGCTGTAGCATGAAGACTTGGAAGAAAAGAGGAGTAGTGTCGCGTGCGAGGAAAGCTCAACGCCGATTTTTGCTGCTCTCCGTGTTCAATTCACGATTGTACCGAACACACGCAATGACTTGATGGGTCTCAAACTACCTCAGCCAACATATCACCTTGCGCTACGGGCCAGTGTGAAGGGGGCCTCCCAGTAGGCTGAGAAGCGATCTGCAGAAAACTCGCCGCAGACGGATAAAGGGTGTTTGAATTTGCCCAACGGCCAATAGGCAGGGAACAAGAAGCGGGCAATACAGTTTGCCCCACCATGCGGGACGATCATCGCGGAGAGTTCTTTTGCAGCCGCGCGTCTTGGTCTCAGCTTGTGCCTACTGCCTCGTGCGACCACAGATATGGTATAATAATTGCCACAGCAAATCGATCTTGGAAGGTGCAACCAACGACCGAGACGGAACTCCATGTTCTTTCTCATACCCTGCAACAAAGAAGGTTGTCAATACATCGGACTGCTTCGACCGCCGCTTGGGGCATGCTCTTACCGGAGTGAACCCGCGGACCCTTACGAACCCAATGCGTCTCAAACCCGCGACGGTGCGCACATTTAGCTGGGGACTGGACGGTCGATTTTGGACCCTGAGTCGACCGTGCGGTCTGACCGTGGTTCTGCAGACGGGCGACGCGTGTAGAGGTCGGTGGCCTCATCATCCGCATCCTTAGAGGGCTTGGGTCGTCTGAACAATGCTCGGAAGGGGTGGGGGTACTGATCGAGATAGGACTAGACCGAGTTTTGCGTCGGCCACGGCCCTGTCTCCTGGGGATCTGACGTCCGAGCCGCGATGGCGTCTTGCACATCGGGCGGCGGTGCCGTCTTACGTCTTTCTCCAGAAGCCGGTATTTGGTCCGCAGAGACTCTTTCGTTCTGGGTTTGCGCTCGATCGAATATTTCCGAGCCCTCTCTGGCCACGTTAAATGGAGATGGCGCGCTACCCATGATGGATAGTCCTGTTCCTCGCCGGGAGTCCAGGCCCGGTAGTGTCTCTTGGCCATGGGGAGCGAGAGTGAAATCGCAAAATGTGGTGTAAGTGGGGGAACTGCGCATGCAGAGACCGGCGCAAATGGCAAGATCCAGATACAGTACATGTATTGCCTGCCATGCGAAAGACGTACAGAAAGAGGAGGGGGGACCAGGAAACACTTAAATGAGGGGGATTCGTTGTCCTGGGTTTCTTTTCCTAGTGAATGCCGTCGTATTGATCCAATAATCCCCCGTAACTTACCCACGTCGCCCACCGGTCAACATGCCCCGTTACCCAGGGTTTCCGAGTTCCACAGGTCAATGCCACGTTGTGCGATAGTGTCAATAAGGGAAGGGAGTCTTGAACCACGGGCCAGGTGGGTCAATTTCAGACACAGTAGACTAAACAGACTGGGGTATAGATCAGAGCGAATAACATTTTCTCAGACTTTTGACCGCTCTGGGCGAGGAAATACCCCATGGCGCTTGGATCCGCAGCAAAGCGGGTTGTTGCAAACCTCAACCATTACTGTGTCTCGCTTGGTCAACCATAGTAAGACCGGGTCATGTGGCCAAAATAACCAATGGGCGGTTATCCCTGACCTGCTTTGGCTAACCTTGTTGCTTATAACCCGCCTGCCATAGCCAACGGCGCTCCACTCCCTCTTGCCAGGCCAGGTATTCAAATTTCTCCGGCTAATTCTCCCTTCAGCACGGTACATACGCAGTGGTTCTTCAACGAGGTTGGTTGTCATCGGGAAATGCCAAAGTCAGAACCGCGGGCGGGCATCCGCGCAAGCACCCGGCAGACCGACAGTCGCAGTACCGCTTCCGACCCACGATCTATCCAAAGACCGGAGCCCGTAATGCGTTCTTCACAGCAGCCTCTGCAATCCCATCGACGCCCATCCACGGTAAGCCTTCACGTACGGTTACTGGTCCCGGATCGTTCCGCTGACTCCACGGAACCACCAGCTGCCACAGTATCTGGTTCTGGTTCTCGAGACCCTCCTTCTGCCCCATCGCCAGAGAATCAAGAAGCATGTTTGGCTACGGTCGAAGCACTGGAGCGGGAGATTGAAGCGTTGCAGAAAGACAAAGAGACCCTGTCGCAGCGCCTTGGAAGCGTCGAAAGAAAGAACAAGGAATTGTTGAAGGAACAGCATCGGTGGAGGCAACAGCTGTCTGAGCGGCGCGCGACTCAACAGCTGATGCACGAAATCCAGCATACCGTTGCAGGTTGGCACCAGCGGCTTTGCAGCCCGGCTGGTTTACCAGAAGAGGAGGATCCTGCTGCCATGACGGCTGCTCTGCCGGCAATGACGACGATGCCAGATATATGGACAACTCAAGGGGACGGAGGGGGTGTATTTGACAACAATCATGGCATTGCACCCGGCCCCGGTGACTTTACGCAGCTTCTTCAATTCTAGTTTCTCTACCGTAGTAATTGATATCCTATCTGGGCGAATGCGCACACGTATACCGATCAATAATGACGGTGCCAATCGGGTCAAGTAATGCACTTTGACGCTCGCTGGAAGCGGCTTGGGAATGTCTGAAAAATAGAATTGCCTCCTGGGTCTGCAGATGGACCGGTGACGCTAGGGTGGGTAAACCGTCATGTGTATAGCGGGCAGGCCTGTTCCACGGTCAAGAAATTGCGCTCAGCAGCAGCACTCGACACCCAATTGACGTTCTTGTCCGCCTACCAGCAAACGGAGCATGAGCAAGATTTCACACGGTCGGGTCCAGGAAAAGAAAGTCGTGATTGAACCGACGAACGGCTAATATCCGAGCCCGAAATATGAGGGTCCCGGGAGGTGTCAGTGAAGGAAGGCTCACGCTACTCCGTCTTCTGAGTGTGTCTACACGCATACACCCAATCCAAATCTCACACTTTCCCCCCCAACTATATATGATTGTGTTAGATCGGGATCGGTACTCCACACTTTCGTCCGCATAAGCGGCCAGTTTTACTTTAATCTAATCTCCAACGGAGCCATGCCGCTGTCTGCAATTTGGACGAGAAGAGCAGCCAACGATGCAGCGTCGAGCATCTACAGTCGAGAACCTGAAGTCGCCCCAGTTCCTCCGCTCTCCATCCTGCGCAAGGGGAGGAGACCAACCGACTTTCCTGCAAGGCATGATCTCCCGGAAATCAACCTGATCGACCATCAAATTGCGCTGGCCCGGGGAACAACCATGGCCCTGGAGACGACCCGTGTGCGGCTTCGGAATGCCAAAAAGAACGGTCCACGTTCGTTGCGAGACACGTTGTAAGAGAAGTGGCGACAATGGAAGCGCCAGGAAGATGAGAACCGGTTCTTCCGCACATGCCTCAGAATCTTCGACGACCTCGCGGCCGTGGCAGTCGAGGTTTCCGATGATCTGATCCTGCAGCATGAATTTGAACCCGAAGTCAGTCCGGTGGGAAACCGACGCATCCTCTTAGGCATGCGCAAGCTACAAGAGGCCCTGGCCGACTCGCACGGGAAGGAAGCTCGGGCCAGAGAAGAATGGGACCGTCGCCTGAACCTTCCCAATATCCGTGCCCCACTACCGCAGTGGATATGATGCCTTGTCGGATCTACGAGTTCCTGTGGGCAGGCGCTCTACGTGACTCTTTGCGTTCGTTTTCCCATCGTGTCTCGACAAAAGGGTGGACCTTCGCTGGAATGTGCTTTGTAGGTATGCTCTCATCCGCTCACTGTGCAGTCCAGCGAAACTGCGCAAGTCTACAAAATTTGCCCAGGGGATTCGGTCCATTGTGTATATCTCAAGTTACTGTACTCCTCATTACACAGTTATTAGAGACATGTGGCCTGTCTAGCCTATCAGGAATTGCACAGACACAATGCAACAGCCGACACCCCCGTATCCCCCAAATTAAAATTGCATAGATTATACCAACCCAATGAATGAAAGCGCATCACCGTCGTAGCAGCTAGCACTGATGACCATGTTCTTCGGATAAAGCTCAACTCTCTCACTTAGACTTGTACTTAGTTAGACAGGCTCCAAAGGAACCGTGCGGGGGCTGTTAGGAGGCGTCTTCGGGTAGAAGCCGGCAAGTAGACCCTCGGAGTCTGTGTCCAGTTGTTAGATACTGTAATGGTTCTTTTCTGCCTATGTGTTCTGTGTGCATACCCATATATCCGCAAGCGACTTGGCGGTCTGACGTAAACGCCTTAAATTCACTTTTGGTGGCATAAGGCATAGCCATAGATTCACTCATGGCTTGGAGAGTACTTGCCAGTTGATGTGGATCAAAACAGGCCAGAAAGCTGCCCTGTGAAAGCGAGCCTTTGATACCCATCTGATCATACGGTCCTTCGGCTGCGCTGCCCAAGGGACTGTCGCATGTTGCACGGTTGTGACCTATTTTGGAACGTGATGGGCTAGACGGCCAGGAGGTGTTAACGGTTAGCCGTAGATTATCTCGACTGATGATGCGACGACTGTCATAGGAACAAGGGCGGCAATGCGTAGACACGGGGCGGGATGGCGAGTGAAGGGCAGAGCCCAGGCGGCCCTTTAATCCGTTCCTGTGCGTGCCATTACACTGATTGTGTTTGTTGTCTTCAGTTATTCCGTACCCTGGGATCGAACCGTCCTTATTCAACTTGCGTCTTCCCGGCTCACTCGTTAGTCTGACATGCATGCAACTGGCCCGCCCCAGTATAAGCGGCTACAGGCTCTGCGGACGGTGTTAGGACTGGAGACCTCGCATGCTGAGACGTCTGGCATACAGTGTGTGCAAGACCCTGTCCGGATCGGTGCCGTTAGCTACGCCGTGGGGGCGGACGAACATGAAATCGCACAGCGTGACGATGGTGATCCAGCGGCCGTAGATCAATCCAGTGCAAGCCCGAGCCGGATGGCAGACGGTAGCGAGGGCGTCTATGGCCAGGGACAGGTCTTCCCTCTCTTGGATGAGTACAGTTTCACGAATCCTACTGTTCGAAGAGCATCACATGACAAGCTGACACACATCTAGACTATCTGAACGGGTGGAGTAAGTGTAACGTTGCCGTTCTCTCGACTAGACTGACGCAAATCAGCGCTTTGGAGTCCAGCATGAGGGAGCAGAAGCAGTGGAATCAGGTTGTTGAGAAGACCGTGGACCAAATCCACCGGTCCTTGTTTGGCAGCGGCACCAAAAGGAGTACAACACGCAGCAAGGCCACCAGGTCTTGACGACGAGAATATCCGCCGGTGCTGGAGGGATGGTTGACTAATGGCGTGTTTCTTCTCCTTGTTCGATCGTGAGTTGACTGGGGAAACTCACCCCTGGACTCTGGTGTAGCGCTGGACAAGACTGGTGAAGGTAGAGGAAATGAAATGTCTTCTGTGAGGGCCTTCTTGAAGACAAATCCTGAAAATAGAAATGGAAGAGCTCAAAGTTGTGCGGGACGTCTACCACAGCAAACAAGCGCTGTACGTGGGAGACAGATACCGTAACAGTCCGTGTGGTTTCCCGAGCAGGCTGGATCAACGTTAACCCACGCGTGACAGGGATCTGCGCTTTGATCCCATAAAGGGAGAACTCAGATACCAGCATTGACCTGGGCGGCTGTAACTCGCCCGGTTTCATTTCATGTCTCCGGCACATCCTCTGTACATTTTTCCTTCCCTCGCTGTGCATTATTGACCACACCAGGCATATAACAATGGTGAAACTACTCTCCAATTGCTAGCGCATCACTCAGCCTACACAGTTGCTATATGGTTGTCTTTGTGAGACACCAGTGTGCCCACAGCCCGCGCAGGTGAATGGCGTGGAACAATCGCGTCAAACCGCCACCCACCGAAAAGTGGTGGACATAGTAAACCAATCCCCCAGCGGGACTGGCCTACTGTTTGACCGACCATAGCTAGGCTATTTTATGACCTAGATTGGCGGTTGACCTCCATCGAACCATAAAGACCGAGGCGTCACTGACGCTAAGTGTCTCGTGTCACAGCATGGGACATGGGAACAGTATAGCGCGGTCCAGAAAAGAGCTTAGAATGGTCAGATTACATTCGTGTCACATGGAGAAGAGTGATCGTTGGCTGCGTTGCATTGCGCTTGAGCGGTGGCGATGTCAGGGATCAGGGCCGTCCAAGGGCTGTTCTATCAAGATCGACAGGCCGATGTCCCTTTCCCGATCCAGATAAGGCCAACCCTCAGCAGCCGCGAGAGCGGACCACAGTCATTCTAGCCCAAATACCAGATCCCGGGTAGCTTTCAATGCGAAACAAAGGGCGTTCAGTTGTCCCCGCTACTGGACTCAACTAACACTGTCGGTAAATTCGGCCCAAGTCCCGCCTCTTGGGACAATCCACTTCGAGGTACCGGACGGCGAAGCACTCCATCCCCGAGCCGATCGCCGGCCAGAGATTATGCGCCTTCGGTCACATCCGGATAACCCTCCCCAGAGCAAAGAGTGTGTCGTAGATCATGATGGCGAATTAGCCCCTGTGGTACCTCGATTGAAGGCGCTCTCCACCCACATCATATCGAAATCTGGACCACGGGGTCCATTTCTTAAAGTTTGCTCTAACGCGACTGGCATAGGACTAGAACGCAGGACGGCTTTCACTCGATCGCGATCGCATGGCAACGGGCTGGCGTTCGGTGCTGTCTTAGTGCCATGGCAGGCAATTCCAGATCATCGCGCCAGAGTCCCGTGGTCCCAACACGCGCGTCTTTTTGGGGCGGCAAGACCTCAGCTTGATTCGAATGACCGCTCCGCTATCGCCCCCGTCCCATCCCTGCCATAAGGTTCAGCCACCATGATACTCATCACAGGCACCGTGATATTCAGCAGTCCTGGTTGGGTTTTAACGAGGTCTACGTGTGGTTCTCTAGGGCTGGGAAAAGTTGGTTCCCTATCTCCGAAGCGAGCTGTCAACCCTGGACCATCTGGGCCAATCACACTGGACGAAGAGTTGTGCTGTGAGATCCCGCCTCTAGAGTCGTTCAAAAGCTTCCCATGTCTATCGATTGGATTCGCATCCGGGGTCTCAGTTCGGAGGGGGGGGATTATATTTTCCGATTCCCTTAGCACCACGACAGCATCCGCGTAGTAATTTTCACCGATAACCAGGCAGCGTTACGAGCACTGCAAAACCCAGGGCGACAATCAGGGCAGTATATCCTGGAAACCATCCTCGTAGCCATAGAGAAAGCTCGCCAACTCAAACTCGCCATACTTTTCCGATGGATACCCTCACACAGGGGCATCGATGGGATTGAACAAGCCGATACAGCAGCAAAAGAAGCCACGGGCTGGCGGCAGGTCCGCACTCGGCGCGACAGGAGCATAGAGGTAATGACCGACAATACTGCAACCAGACCCGCGCATCAGAGACTCCTCCAAACTGCCGTGAAATCAAGGATACAAGGGACAGTAAATGCCCAATGGGAACACGACTGGCGGTCCAGCCCCCACGACAGGACGGTTTACGAGCTGACGCCAACCCCGACAAAGAAGGTACTAGGGGTCCACCAGAGCCTCCATCGGGTACTTAATACGACCATCATCCAGCTGCGCACAGGGAAGATAGGACTTCGACACTACCTCTACCAACAAGGAGTGCCAGACATACCAGACGCAGACTGTCAATGCGGCAAAGCAACCCAGGCAGTCCAACATGTACTCCTTGCCTGTCCTCTCTTCAAAAGCCTTCGCGAAGGGATATTCGGCAGAAGAATGGGGGGCCAGGAAGGAGAAGGGGAGTTTGAAGAAAATCCTTAACACGCCTAAACTAGCAATCCGAGCAGCCAAATATATGATACGCACGGGGCTCCTGGGGCAATTCGGAGCTGTTGACAGTTGGGAAATATACCAGGCGGAGCACTGAGGTCTTTGGGCATACAGAGATCAAGGAAGGGTTTGGGGAGCCCCCAGATTTAAATCTGGGCGGAGCCAAGCCCTCAACTAAAGCGCATATGGAAGGCAGAAACATGTACATAGCAAATGTAGCTAACTGCGAAGCTGCCCAGCAGGCAGTGGAGCAGTTCCCCGCATAGCCACGAGTTCATGAGTGGCTGGGACGGTGTATGAGTAAATCCGAATCCGAATCCGAACCACGACAGGATCAGCTGATGGCGTTTGGAGCTCCGAACCACTTGGTCCAGGCTGGTCCAGGCTGGCATCTATTCCACCATACTTTCACGGGAAGACGATTCAGCCAGGAAAATGTATCTTGCACTGCGAATGGCTGGGATTGGTGGAGCCTGGAGACCAGCAAGTCATGTAGCTGCTGTTTGACATGCCTCCATTGGGCCATCGGAGCCCTCCCCTCCCACCTAACCTTGTTGCCCAATCCGCCTGCCACGGTCCTTCATCTCTGGCGGTAGATCCGTTCAGGTCACTCTCACCATTGCCGGGGTACACTGATACCGACTCAGTTCTAACCCAATCCGGATACTGTACCCTTATCGTCTTCGTGCGTAACTAGTACGTCATTAGGTCGCAGGGGCTCTTGGGTGTCAGTAGTTTGGGTCCCACCAGCTGCAATGGAAGGATCCAACTATTGATTCAGGATGAGAAAACTATAGGTGTAGTGTCCGTAGTCAACTTAGTATGAAGGTTCTCCGAGTCATAACTATTCTATAAAGAACTCGAGCCTGCTGTTGTGGTCCCCCCTGATATCAACGTGCGCTCGCTCATAACGTCAATTTTTGTCTGTTTCACCACCCCACCTTTCTGGCCGAGATCCGTGCTTGATACTGCTTGTGAGGATCTCAGGCAGCACTTCCCAAGCACGTCGGATGTTTCCCCCCAGGTTTCTGGGGAATATACTGTGGTAGGCGTGCACGGCAAATCTTGAACCAGGAACTGCTAAGTCTCATACTCTGATGATCCTAGAGCTTCGATCAGCCTGTCCCTGTGCCAGATTTTGTGGCCGATAACCCATGCTCTGTAGTGCCACAGCCGGTGAAATCCTTTCCCACTTCGCCTCAGCTGGAAGACGCGGTGTACCAACTGCGTGAATATATATGTCTGTAGATGTCTGATGGAACCCAACCCCACGCAGACTCGCTGATCCTAGAGAAGGGCGCCGACGCGGACCAGACGAAATCAGAGCCTCTACGCCGGCACAGCAGACACCGGCGGTCGAATCGTGCTGTAGCCACGACAAGGAACGACCGAGACGAACACACAGCGATCATCAGGCAAGATCTGGACCTGCCATGTCAGCTGAGTGCACTGACCAACGGCATGCAACACATCCCGGTTAGAGACATGTACGCCTGGGTACATCGTCCCGTCGAGACACGCCGCCAGGAGGCTCTACAACGGCATGGCAGGATTTCACGCCCGATGAATTCATTCATGCTGTACCGGCTGGCGTATAGTGATCAAGCGAAGCATTTGCTTGCACAGAACGATCATCAGGCCATATCCATCCTCACCGGACGGAGCGGGAAAACGAAAACCTCCCATATCCGTAAGCAGTACAAGACGCTCGCAGTGACGGAGAAACATAAGCATGCTGGAGCGCACCCGGGATATCAGTTCTCGCCGTCAACCAAGAAGAAACGATCGCAGAACGCAGGAGCCCGTTCTCAGAAATTGGTGTTGCGCTCGGAGGCGTTCCCCAAAGTCAGCCGAAGCTCTCAGCCTCACGCTGGGTCTACTTCGTTGAACAATGACCGCGTCAGTGGACCCTCCACACGACCATTCTTTGCAAGATGAGGAGACCCTCATCCAAAGCATTCCATCGAATCCCGCTGGTTTTGGATCATTGCAAAGTGCCGCCTCGGTGTGGTGGCGGGAGATAATCTACTCTCAGATGACCTCTGCTGAGCAAGTCTCCGCAGGCACCCAACCTTGTTTCCCTGTCGTCACGGGGCAACCGGGGATACCGAACTCTGCTTGCTTTGTTCCCCAGTCCGGATGCCCTGGGCTCGAAGCTGTCAACAGTCAGTCTGCTTTACTGACACTGTCTGTTTCGTGTGAGGATTGTAAGGTTGACGGGGAATAGCTTATGGAAGGGACGCAGCGGGTTGCGACTGCAGGCCAGTAAGTAGCATATATGGCTTTTACGGCATGTTCATCACATATACGTTGGGTATTGGCGTCGACAGCCTCAGATGCGAGGATCTCATGCATAATTTTTCTCGGTTCTTTTGTACAGTGCGTGTGTAACTGAGATGCCCGTGTTTGTGTACTGAGCAATGACTTCCAGGAGACCATGTCCGCGCCGAAGGCCATAACACCTCAATCTCCTGCAGACGACTGTTCACCGCGGCCATGTAGGAAGGCGTAGCCCAGGGGCCATAAGAGCAACAGATCCCCCCGGAAAACGGCCCAAACTCCTGGAAACTGTTTGTGTGCTCCTGGGAGCCAGCATGTTGCTCTTGAGAGCGACGCCCCTCCCCTGATTCCTGCCGCTCGTCACAGGAACGGGAAATCGTTTCCTACCTTTTTGAGCATACGGAAATCACCTTGGCTCGCTACCGAGCAGACTGTACAGCGGACTGACTGGAGAAGGACATGATCTGCACTTCTATAATTCAAAATGACGGTGTATTGGCATGCCTAGCATTCTTTATGCGTGATTCTATCATACTATATCGCTACTGCGTGATTTAGTCTGCCCCTCAGACCAGAGCATACTATAAATGATTGACAGGCCAACCATTATGGACACAATATCCCGACTAGATTCTTTCGGCTCTGTGCTAACGTTCCCACCCATCGTCACGCTTTTGGCATCTGTGTACCGACCAACCAAGCCATTTGGTTTTTACTCATGGACGAGCAGCGTTCACTGCCTCCACTGGAGGAGATAAACACTCTGGGGTCAAGAGAGGCATTGCGGACCGACGAAAGGCTTGGCGGAGTTGCGACTGCAGCGGAAGGCTTCACATCGATTGCAGCCCCTGTCCGTCAGCGGCCAAAGGACACTAGTGCCACTGAGCCCGTCGAGGATCACCGAAACTCCAATGTGTCTACAGAAGTATGTTGACGTTCCATTCTTCTCAGTCCTGCAGCGCGACAGCCATCGTGTGTTAAGTCAACATTAGCTGATAGACGGAATTAGCGCAGGGTGGACCGAGCATGTGCGGCGTGCGTTCGTCGGAAAATTAAGGTGCGCGAAGCCACAGAGAGCTGGGACTCATGGTAAAACGTTGGTCGAGAGCGCGTTTGACTAACTTAATGAGCTAATAGTGTTCTCGCATCTGGCCCTGCGAGGCGTGCCAGAGAAGTGGAAGTAATTGCGTTCCTCGATGGAAATGCATGACAATGTCTACCGAGGTATATCCACATTCTACTCTCCTCAACATCCATTGTGGCAGCCACCGTTCACTAACTGAGCATTATCTGATGGGGAGGTAGCAGGGCAGGAGGCACCCAGCTTGTGAGAGATGTTTTCGTCGGAAAATCAAGGTGCGCGAAGCCACAAGGAACTGGGACTTATGGGAAACTGTTGGTCGACAGTGCTTTTGACTAACGTAACGGGTTATTAGTGTTCTCGACCCTGGCCCTGCGAAGCGTGCCAGGGAAGCGGAAGTACTTGCGTTCCTCGGTCAGATCGACAGAGCGTGAACCATCGTACTATGATGTCTACCGAACCACGCACAGAGAAGTCGCCAGTCAGCAGGGTTTATCCAGACCAGCCCTCTAGTTACACCTCAAGAACGTATGAGGCTCACGGCAGCGCATCCATGGAGGAACACCGATGGAGCGTGTCCGATATGGGCTGCGCTTCAGATGCCGCCATCCTAAGAGACAGTGGTGCTGAACGTGGCTCACCCACTACGCGTCCTGCAGACGTTACTGCTCGTGGGGAATGGAATCAGATTAGAGATGATGGGAACAGCACTCTCACATACCGAATTGGCGACAATGCAGGCTGGGGACCCCCATCTAGCGCGACCA